CACCTGCTGGGCCTCCCAGGGGTGTGGGGCGGCTGTCTCAGGCTCTCCAGGCCACGGCAAAGCGTCTGACTCATTTGCATGCCGGACGCCTGCCACGTGCCTGGACTATGGCAGATCTGACATGGCATGTCATTGCTTTGAAGACCAGCCAATCTGGAGGAGCCTGCGTCTCCAACAACAAAGCCTGCAGCCCATCTAAGACGCGTGCCGGGGCCCCGCACAGGAGCAGGCACACATGCGCACACACGGGAGATGGACACTGCCCCCCACAGACTGTCTTCTGTGACTCAGGACCTTGAGAAGGTCGTAGCTTGGCAGTGGCCAGGGGGTCAGCCCCCTGAGCTGTTTCCAGTAGTGCCCTAAAGACGCTCTCCAGGAAAGCTAGACTCAGTCCACACTTCTATAAGTCAGATCCTGGTAGCTTCTGTTCTTTGACATTTCCTTTTCAAACAAGGAATCACTCTATGTTCTCATTCTCTCTAGAGCTAAGCAAAAAGGAAATGAGTGGCCATGTTTTGATAACACTGTCACACCCTGCTTCATTCTAATGCTGATAGTTGCATTAAGTGAAAACTCACTACAGCTGAGCTTTCAAACGCCTCAGAAAGAAGCGAATTATCTTTTTGCCAGATGCAGCGCAAATAACTGGAGACCTTTGGCTCCCCCTTTTCACCGCATTCGTGGATAATAATGAGGGCAAGTGTGAAGGGCTGATCCAATTTGGATGAATTCTTTCCCCTGAGGATCCAGCCCTTCACTCTGGAAAGGGTTAAAAGTCAATGCAGCCACTGATGCCCTCTCCCCTCTGCCCTTGCAGGGTGATGACTGGATAATGGCAGTGAATGCCTGCCACGGCCCGAGGCCAGCAGCCTCCAGCCCTCCTCAGCCATCTGTCCAGGCACAGGGACAGCCACGCTCTCAGTGGAGGCAGGGCTTGGAAAGCACAGAAGTTGGGCGATGTGGCAACCCAGCCAGTTCACCAAGGGCGGGGAGAGGAGTCCCATAAAATATTGTGACACTTGAGGCCTGGCTAATGGCTGCAGCAGAAGGCTGGGTGGCCGGCTCACATCCCTGTGCCCAGGCTGGCATTCCTGCCACCCGCCAGGGCCAGGATGAAGTGGAGGAGGCCTTTCAAGTTGGAAGAGATGATGCTTTCCTCCAGCAGCCAGCAGGGCTAGGGAAGGTAACAGGCAGGCATGTTTTAAGGCCATTAGCAAAGAACAATGGGAAGCTGAAAGGTAATCCCAGTGAATAGAAGACACAAAGTGGGCTTGTGCCAGCAGCCTCGGGGTCAGCTCATTATCCCAGACGGCAGATGGAGGGGGCCTGGTTGCTGGGCAGAACTCTGAGCTGCCTGCTGGGCGGGGAAGGCAGGCGCTGCTAGCCCAGGACTCCTCCCATCAGCAGCATCAGCAGCACCACCCTGTCCCAGAAGCACTGGGCAATGAACTCACCAGATCAGCTGACCCAGAGTAGAGGATGTGCACACTGGGGGGATGTGTACACTGGGGGGATGTGTATACTGGGCGATGTGCACACTAGAGGGAGGTGTACACTGGGAGGATGTGTACACTGGGAGGATGCACACGCTGGAGGATGTGTACACTTGGGGTATGTGCACACTGGGGGGATGCGCACACTGGGGGATGTGTACACAAGGGATATGTGCATACTGGGATATGTGCACACCGGGAGGATGCGTACACTGGGGGGATGTTTATACTGGGGCATCTGCACACTGGGGGATGAATACGCTGGGGGAATCTGAACACTGGGGGGTGTGTACCCTGATGGGATGTGCACACTGGGGGGTGTGCACCCTGGGGGATGTGCACACTGGGGAGATGTGCACACTGCAGGATGTGCACACTGGGGGGATGTGTACACTGAAGGGATATGTACATACTGGGGTATGTGCACGCTGGAGTGATGTGCACACTGGGGGTATGTGCACACTGGAGGGATGTGTACACTGGGGGATGTTTACACTAGGGGATCTGCACACTGGGGGATGTGTATACTGGGGGCATCTGCACACTGGGGGATGTGTACACTGAGGGGATGTGTACACTGGGGGTATGTGCACTGGGGGGATGTGCATACAGGAGGATGTGCACACTGGGGGGATGTGCACACTGGGGGGTTATGTACATTGGGGGGATCTGCACACTGGGGGATGTGTACACTGAGGGGATGTGCACAGTGAGGGATACACACACTGGGGAGCTGTGCACACTGGGGGATGTGCACACTGGGGGGATGTCGACCCTGGGGGGATGTGTACACTGGTGGATGTCCACACTGAGGGGTTGTATACACCGGAAGGATGTGCACACTGTGGGGATGTGCACACTGAGGGGATGTATACAATGGGAGGATGTGTACACTGGGGGGATGTGCACACTGGGGGGATGTGCACACTGAAGGGATGTATACAATGGGAGGATGTGTACACTGGTGGATGTCCACACTGAGGGGATGTATACAATGGGAGGATGTGTACACTGGTGGATGTCCACACTAAGGGGATGTATACAATGGGAGGATGTGTACACTGGTGGATGTCCACACTGAGGGGATGTATACAATGGGAGGATGTGTACACTGGGGGGATGTGCACACTGGGGGATGTATACAATGGGAGGATGTGTACACTGGGGGGATGTGTACACTGGGGGGATGTGCACACTGAGGGGATGTATACAATGGGAGGATGTGTACACTAGGGGGATGTGCACACTGGAGGAACCAAGAGAATGTACATACCAGGGACATAAACACTCTGTTAATCACAGCTGGCATGTGCATACTGGCCAAGGCAGTTGCACTCACTATGACACCCAATGAGCAATGGTATCAGCAGATCTTGATCACCCTCCATAGAAGGGCACCCTTCAAATCTGCATACCTGGAAAGCCACCCTCGATGGTGGGATAATGAGGGAGCTGGACCGTTAAGCCTGCAGTGTTCTGTCCCCCTCCTTGGCCTGCTTTGAAATCTCTATTACATCCTTCCTGCTGCCCCTGCTGCCCTGTGATCCCAGCAGGATCTTATGCTTTTTAGACTTTGAGTGTTTTGTTTTGTGCAGTTGAGTGTTCATTCTTCTGCAGCCTCTTCATGGGAAAGTGAACCAACCTCAGAGCATGCTCTCAGCAAAGCCTCCATGACCAAAATCCACACTGGAGTGCATTTTGCCCCTCTGCTTTTGGGCAGTCAGCACTCCAACGGCAGCTGCCTCACCATCTTCTATTTACTCTGTGCTAGAAAAACAGTGTTTCAAGAAAATTTCTCTGTGAGCTTTCCAATTTTAATTCAGCCTATTGCTTAACAGCAGTCATGGAGGATAAATACCAGTGCTGAACACATGCTGAGGCTGCCATAAAGAAAGCACATGGAATTGATTTTGTTCTTCTAGACTAAGGTTAAACAACCACAATTTTATTCAAGGGAAACCTTTATAACCCATTCATCCAATAGAGCTTTCTATTAGGTGTATACAGTGATACATCCATAAGTTTTGCAGGACAGCTTCTTGACAGAAATGCAATGCTAGCAGCAGCCCACTCTGTTCCTTCGAGCTTAATCCCTACAGTAAAGCAACAGGAAGTATTGGCCTTTGTGCAGCATCCGTATTATGGTGTCTTTAAGAGCCAGTGCATGCTGCAGACAGAATTGCATTGGCTATGCCCACATCGGCCATCATCAAGTTCTACCTAAGTGTTTTCTTTTACATTTCCCTTTTTTTAACACTGAATGTCAACGTAGTACAAATGTGTGAAGAAAAATCTAATCACACATAAAATAATAATTTTAAAAATCAATCTCTTGACAATGGTAGGAACCTTCCCAATTGAAAGGAATTCTCTTTCTATTATTTTTGTGTCTATTTGCTGGGGCTGCCATAACAAACTATCACAGACTGTGGGGCTTAAACAGGAAGTTTATTCCAGAGGCCAGAAGTCTGAGGTCAAGGCAGGGTTGGTTCCTAAGGCTGAGAGGGAGAATCTGGCCCAGGCCTCTGTCTAAGTGTCTGGTGGTTTGCAGGCCATCGTGAGTGCTCCTTAACTTGTATGCATGTTCTGCCTGCATGTTCAAATGAAATTCTTCCTGTGTGCCTGTGTCTCAAAATTGCCTTTTTTATAGGGACACCATAACCAGTCATTTATGATTATGGTGCTCCCTAATGATCTCATTTTAACTTGACTATGTCTGCAAAGATTCTGTTTCCAAATAAGAACCCAAGGAGTTGTCATCAACATCACCACCATCATCACTACCACCATCTCCACCACAACCACCACCATCACCACCATCATCACCACCACCACCATCACCATTATCACCACCTATCACCACCATCTCCATCACCAACTTCATCACAACCACCACCATCACCATCATCACCACCACCATCACCATCATCACCACCATCTCCATCACAACCACCACCATTGCTACTATCATTACCACCACCATCTCCACCAGCATCACCACCATCTCCACCATCACCATCACCATCATCACCACCATCTCCACCACCACCATCACCATCATCACCACTATCTCCATCACCATCACCATCATCACCATCCTTATATCTAACATTTAAAGTGATCCTCTGTGAGATACCATGTTAAATGCTTTATCTGATTCTTTCTCTTAGTCCCTTTTATAGCCCACTGGTACATGTAGTATTATTATCTGCATTTTACAAAGGATGACCCTGGACCACAGAAGGCCACACAGGCAGGTGCTGAGAGGCAGAATTTGAATCACAGCAGTCACCTGTGCCCTTAAGAAAATATTCAGATGGACATTGTCTGCAGTAGCAAAAGCCAGAAACCAGTCGAATAATTCCTATAAGAGAGCACTATGAAATGATTGACCAGCAGATATATGCCTCAACATGCATGCATCTCGAGCAGAAAAAAGCAAGTCGCCAAATTCATACTGTATAACTTTATTTACAAATATTCAAAAACAGATAAAATCTAGCCATCTATTGCTTGGCGACTCACACATGTACAGTAAAACTTTAAACAAGACAGGGTAATGATTAACACATAATCCAGGCCAGTGATTATTGTAATGAAAGTGAAAAAAAAAAAAGAAAAATAAAAAGAATCTTATGGGACCATTTAGAGGTCAGGGTAACGTTCTAACTGCTAACCTGGGTATGTCTTCATTTATTATTGCTATTTCTATGTATATGTAAGTTACAGATACTCTTGTGTGTGTATCATTCATTTTAGAATTATTTTTCAAGTTCTTTTAAAAAAAAATCTCCAACTAGGAAAAAAAATCCCAGAAGGGACGATGAGGAGCATCTCTAGAGGCTTCTCTCGCCAGAGGCTCCTGCCTGCGGCCGTCCACCCTCCACATGTCTGGCCCTAAGTGCCTCTGTCTCCCCAGAAGACCTAAAGTGGTGGACATAGTGAGTATAAATCTTAGGCCAAACACATCACGTTTTGTTATTTTTGTTTAATTTAATTTAAAGCTAATTCTAGGGCCCTTCCTTTCTTCTGGGTAGATAGGAAACCCTTTCTCAGATTTAGGAGAGCCTGCAGCAGGCCTAAACCTGGAGGCGCCTCTCACCACTATAGGTGGGATGATGGATCCCCATAGCCCCGCACACTCAGGATGCAGGACAGCTGGCGCCAACATTCCTAGTTACAGGACTCACAAAGCCCTCACGTCTGTGGCCCCTTACCTGTCAGGGCACTGTGGAGGGAGGCTCCCCTTCTGGCCTTCCCCCTTTGCCCCTCCCCCTGAGCATAGGCTGCTCGTCCCAGGTCCAGCCTCTGCTGGGTCCACTGGGACAAAGGGCAGCATGACACATGACAAAGGAGCCACCCCTCTCTTCCCCCAGAGCACTGCCTGGGCAGAGCAGATGAACTCTAAGTACTTGGTGCCCACACTGGAGCCACTTGTCTCTGATCAATGCCCTTGGTTGTCCTGGCTCGTGCCCCCAGCTGACCTTCCTGGGGGCTCCAGACTATCCAAGGGGTGATTCACCTTAGCAGAGGCTGGACCTGAGCCAATGTTCAGGTCCCTCCTCCCCTAGGTCTCTTCCCAGTAACATCCAACTGTGCTGGCCTTTGGGTCCCCCACCCAGCCCCCACTTGAGGGCACAGGGCCCATCTGCAAGCAGAGCCAAACCCGATGGCCAAAAAGGGGCCTGACTTTTGGGTCACCTGGGTTGGTTCGGTCAACTGGGTTTCTTCAGTCAACTGAGTTTGTTGACTTTTGCGAGTCTACAATTGCTAAGCAGTCACTCAAAACCCAATAAACTTCAAGAACTGATTATTGTTTGACAACCCATTTGGAGGCCAAGCTTGACCTGATTGCCCTTGTGTCCTTATTTACCTGACTTGGTTTCACTGTGAAACACTAACCCATTTGCTTATAGGATTCTCCCCATACCTCATGGGGTGATGTAGGGTATGTGGTATCCACACCAGAATCCAAAAAATGTCCAGGTCCAAATGCTGTTTGGCTCCAAAGGTTCAGGTGAAGGTCCGTGGGCACATAAAGCAGGCACAGCACCAGCCTCAAAGAAGACCGGGATCTCTATGAGGCCCCAGTACTTGGCCACCATTGCTGGCATCTGCTTGTCATTGGATGGTGCAAGGAGTTGTAAACACACACAGGAATACATCAAGGCTCATCTGCTCCCATCTCTCTCAAACCAGAGAAGATGTATCCACAGCTTACCCAGGCTCATAGAAGACTCAGAGGGAGGCCTCCAAATGCCTCTTGGATCAGGGCTAGGTCTTGGGAATCCTGCCTGCTCACTGCCTCCTGCAAAGGGCTTCTGGGGGCCTGTTTGTCCTCTTCCTACCCCTCTGATGACCCTCCCAGGGCACATGCACAGGCATGCACACCCATGCAACACAAACACACAGTTGTACACACATGCACACAACACACATACATATGTGGGCACACATATACACAGCACTTACGCACACACACACACCCTACGTATCCAAGTTTCTCTCAGGACAACTGCCCACGGGACTCCGTAGCACCAGCTGCAGCATGCACTCATGTTTTTCAACTCAATAATCCAGACTGTGCACATGGTTGGTGTGACCCTAAGCCTGGAGTCTCCCCGCAAAAATCACCAGAACTTACACAGCCAAAGTCACACTGCCTGGGAAGGGCCCTCCACTTCCTTCCAGGATTTTATTCCACATAGCTTTGGATCCCCTCTTCCAGAATTCTTCTCAAAGCTAATTTCAGAATCAACAAAGAAACACGACCCATTGTGCACCTGCCATGAGGAAAGCGAACCAGTTGCCGAAGTCAGATGACTACTTCAGATCTGTCTGCTGCCTGCTGCACATCAAAGGCTTTGCCTCTCCAAGGGGGATCCCTGCACACAGTTCAGCTGCCTGCCACATGGAAAGGTGACAGCAATGGGGCCTCTGCAAGAAGTTGGGAGGGCATCCTACTGGATGGAGGCTGAAGGGCTTCAGGAAAATGCATTTAAGTGTTCTAAACCTGGAAAAGGGAAAGTTGGAATTTACCCTTGTCATATTCAAAGAGATCACAGCTGAGTGTTGGTGCCTATTTCATATGGACAGGTTCCAGAGCCCTTAGGAAGTGGCTCTGGGCTCCTTTATGTTTTCCTCCCACAACATTGAGACCGACCCAAGGAATTGACCCCAATCTTGGGATCCACAGACTGCCCAGCAACCTGCTGGGTAGTGGCATCCCTCCTTCCTCTCTTCCCATCTGCCCATCACATCTCCTGTGTCAACGCACATTTCCCAGTACCACTGAGTGTCCTGAAAGCAAACACTCGGCCACCTCTGGGAACTAGCTGGGCGTGATGCTCTGAGGGGAGCAGGTGCTTGGCCAGGACAGACTTGGCAACAAACCTCCAGCAAGTTTCACAAGGGGAGAAATACAGCCAGGGCTCGCTGGCCTGGGGGATCCAGCCCAGCCCCTGCGGAGCAGAGCAGCAAGGGCGGGGTGAGCCTCAGGCAGAACATCTTTCCAAAGGTGGGGGCTCTGTGGAGGGAAGCCGGGCTGTAGGGCCATTCCATCAGCAATTTTATAGGAATTCTGGAATCAAACAGCCCCTTTGATCATGAATAATTTTAACATTCTCTGTACTAACCCGAAATGAAATGTTTGGATAATATGATGTATCTATAATGTGATAGATAGATGATGGATAGAGAGATGATAGAGAAATATAGATGATACAGATAGATAGATGACAGATAGGTGATAGTTAAATAGATAGATGATAGATAGGTAAACAGATAGATCACATATGTAATGCTTTCATAGTAATATAAAAGAAAACTAAAATAGATATAATAAACAATAACATCTATTTTGATAGTAAATGTTTAGGTACAACTACCCCAGATGACAAATCAAGTCTTCACATGCGTGCATTCAGGTAAAATTTCTGAGTATTCCGCCAGATGGTGGGCCTTGCTTTGGTGATTCCAGCGTTCACTGGGGCTGTGGTTCTCTGAAATTATGAACAAAGCTTGGCAAAGCTTGGATCCTCCCTTAGTCCCTGCCATAGCTGCAGCCCTGGGAAATCCAGTGTCTACTAGAGCCATGAAGAAGCACGTGGTACTGACAAAACACAGGCATGGGACCAAACCAACCCCCAAACACAGATCTGCCACCCAGATGAACGGCCAATGGAGCGAGGACAGCCACAGTGCCGTCTGTCTGTGTGGGGCTTTCTCTGCCTTGTACAACCTCTAGTGTCCTCAGCCCTGGACCACAAAGGCAGTAGTCCCTATGGTCATTGTTTTAACCAAAAAATGCCACCACGAATTTCAAGCAGGCCCCTCTAAGACCCACTCCCACGGTGAGCACTGACACCGGCAGCAGAACCCAGCCCTACAGTGAGGCAAGGCAGGGGAAAGCCCTTTGCCGCTGTCCATGCCCAGCCATGATTCCTAAGCTCCATCCTCAGCACAGGCGTAGGGCCTTTGGTGGACCCTCCGAGTCTCCCTTGTCAATCCCTGGACTGTGTGACCAAACCTGTGCAGAAGCACAAAACCCAGGCCACAAACAAAAAAGGTCAGCCCTGTTCTGAGTGCCTGGGGGGTCCAAGAAGGCAGCTGGTTAGCTCTGCCTCTGACACGCCAGCCTTGCCCAGCCAGCCGCATGGGCCCCAGGCCAACTCAAAAGTACTGGAGAGTACCTCACATGTTGGCCAAAACCTGTAAATTAACCATCAACTCTGTGTCCACGTGTTTTAAATTCTAAAGAGTTTCACTTGGATGACTGGGTTCTGAACCAGGAAACCTCCGCCTTCCCCAGTGACCCCAGCACCTTGCACCTTTTTTCTCATTTCTTGCCCACTTTGCTTAGTTCTGAACACCTTCATTCTAGAGGCCCCTTGACTTCCAGAATGTGAGTATAAAAATGGGATGTGGTGCCCCTGCCCTGTCGGTAATCAACCAACCCACTTTTGCTCCTCTTCTGGGGTGTTCCTCTGTGTAGGCCCCACAGAGAAGACCACAGCTGTGTGGGAAGGTTAGGTAAAGCTAAACTTAGCCAAAGCTATGGGTCGCTGTGTACAACCAAAGTCAGCACCTTTGCAAACCAGGATTCATAACTAAACATGCTGGCTTTTCTAGCTTTATTCAAACCACTTCCCAGCTAAGAGTAGTAAGTACACAGACAGAAATGCCACATTCTGGCATAAATATGGGTCTCCTTCCAAACACGAAACAAGCTGATGAACCAGTGAGAGCCCCAATCTTTGGTTCATGAACTCAGTATTTAAAACAGTAACACTAGGCTTTCGTGGGAACTACTAAGGGTAAGTAAGAAGAACTCGTTCTAAAAACAACTCTGGGGATGTTTTCTGGGCTCGTACTGAAGCACATGGCCAGAGCTTGCTAACTCAGAGCCCAAATCTGGTGTCTGCTGGCAGCTATCGTCAACAGTGAGGAAATTTCTCAGGATCTGGTTTTCCCCATCTTTAGATGAGGCCGGGTGCAGCGGCGCATGCCTTTAATCCCAGCACTTTGGGAGGCTGAGGTGAGCAGATCAGTTGATCTCGGGAGTTGGAGACTAACCACAGACAACATGGAGAAACCCTGTCTCTACCAAAAGTGCAAAAAACTAGCTGGTCATGGTGCTGTGCACCTGTGGTCCCAGCTATTCAGGAGGCTGAGGTGGGAAGATCACTGGAGCCCCGGGAGGCAGAGGTAGCAGTAAGCCAAGGTGGTGCCACTGCACTGCAGCCTGAGTGAAAAGCAAGACCTTGTCTCAAAACTAGATAAATAAATGAGGCCAGGAATGATATGGACATACCCACCCAGGAGAGGTGAGGGCAGTGATGGTGAGGGGCCAGGTGACATGACAACAGAAGGTGTCAGAGCTGCTAGGAGCCTCTCGGGCTGGGAAGCACCTTGGGTATGGCAGCCCAGATGCTGCAGTGGGGCCGCCCCAGTGTGCTGTGTGCCAGGCAGGGCCTTCCCAGGTCTCTGCAGCAGGGACGAAGGAGCAGAAGTGGGGTGTTCCTGGGCCAGCTCTGTTCTCCTGCAGCGCATCATCTGGACCTAAAGTGGCCAAACAGGTTTTCCAGGTGGCAGCTGAGCTCCTGCAGGGCTGGGAACACTTTGTTCCTAGCAGTATCCCGGAGGGCCGTGTTCATGAGCCAGGTTCAACGTGTGAGGGAAGCCTGACAAGGAGGGCGTATCCTTCATGTGTCCCCAAGCGTGACCCAAAGCACTCCAGAGCAGAAGGAAGTCACCCTCTGTTGGGCTAAATGGGGCTGTGCTTTTAGAGCAAAGGAAAGAGAGAAAGGCCAGAGGCTCTCTCCTCTGTGCCCTTCTCAAGAGGACCTGAGACCCCACCAGAGAAGAGGCCTAGACAGGTGACACATCTCTAGCAGGGCCCCCAAGAATTACACTCTGGAGGAAAGAATGCCTTACCTCTTTCTTTGCTTAATTGTCCATGGCAGTGGTTCCAAATCTGGGGAGATATTTTTGATACAGATTATCAGGCTCCAACCCAACTAGAATCTCTGCAAGGGGAACCCAAGAATCCGTGATTCTGATGTCACAGGTGTGCGGGACATGTTCAGGTGCTGTGACCCACACTCCCAAGATTTCTGGGGGTACCGCCTCCCTGGTGTTGAGATGATAAAGTCTGAGGCATTTCTAAAACTATCGGTCAACTGGTTGAATTTCATCTCTGGCCACAACCACTAAAATTCAACTGAGTCCTAGAGCAAAATTTGGAGATGATGCATTCTTCATTTTTTTTTTAACCGGGAATCTTGGCTTCCTATCCTGATGCCATCCATTACCATTAGCTAGCTGTGTGCTCACCTGCCAGGGCCAGCCTTGAGTTTGCGGGGGACTCATACACCCTCCAGCCCGGGACTTCCATGCCTGGCCCGGGCACTTATAGCCAATAAGCCACTCGCATTGGTAAACCTGATTTAACTCAGCCCTCCTGGTTTCTGTGTTTCAAAATCAGAAATCAGCCAAATGTCACTCCCCACCTGGACGGTCCGCTCCGGAGGAAGGGCTTTCAGGCCTGGGTGTCTGTAGCTCAGCTCGGCACCTAAGGGTGCAAGGAAGAACCCAGTGGGTACATGAGAGACATCTTGTTTCTCTTTCTTACTGCTGGTTCTCAGCCCATGTCAGAGGATTATCATAGCCCCTACTCCCTCTCCTCTTCTCCAAGCTTCCATTCTTGAAAGCTGCTTTCATCTGTGTTCCTTCTTCAAGAAGAAAGGAGCTAATAGCAGTTGAATTTTACTGTGCCCCGTGCTTTCATTATGTGCTATCTCTCAAAGCATTCTATTTCTCAAGCAGCATTTTTGTAATATTATCCAGATGAGAAAGTAAGGCCCAGCGAAGTTAAGGACGTTTTGCAAGGTCACACAGCTGGTGGCAGAGCAAGCATTCAGTCTCCAGCCTGCATATGGCAAAATTGGCCCTTGAGCCAAGCTCATTGGAATTCAGGTGAAATGCTCTTGCTTGAGAAATTTTCATCTCTACAGGGCCCAATGCCATGAGGTAGAAGAACAGCCTTGTGCCCATCAGGGCCCACATGCAGAGCCCAGGGCAGGGCACCCACACAGGAGAGCCTTGGCACTCACAGAAGCCACCCCCATCAGCCCTGCAGGACCTCGAGAAGCCTGGCCACTGCTCTTCCCTCTAGTTCCACCCTGGGGAGCCAGTGGGATAGAACGTTCAGGGAGAAGGGGGTGCTGACAGGGATCCCTGGGACTTCCTCGAGGTGCCCAGATAGCACACAGAAGTGCCAGGAGGGTGAGCCACAGCAGTTGCTGGTGACCAGCAAGGAGACAGTGTGGACGCTGAAGCCCAGTTCTGGGGATTCCTGGGCCTGTTTTCTTTGTGCACCGTCTGAGGGAGGTGGAGAGGTCAGTTCCTCTTAGACCTTCTCAAAGGTCTTCTGAAGAACCTGTCCATATATTGTTCCTCTTCCCATCCCCCCTTCCCAACACTCCAGGGGACACCTCAGATGGATGTTTGTGCTTGGACTTGTAGTCTTAGTCCAAGCAATGACCTCCCGCTGGGCGTCTCAAGCATCAACTGCAGCACTGAGAGTGTGTGCTTTGCTGCTTGGGGGCACATCCCCGGGGTCCTGCTGTCACTCCTTGGTCAGCTAATGGATGGTGTGGGAGAGTGGAGCAGGAAGCAACTCTGGCAGTTTCCATCCAGAAACTGTGCAGTGAGCTCTGCAAGCAGAAGCAGGATAAAGGGGAGGGCCTGGCTGACCCAGGCCCAGTGCAGCCCAAGGGACACCTTGCTCAACTGCTTTGCACAGAACAGCAGCCACTGGGGCCCTTCCTCACAGCCTCGGCCACAGGCCAGGGCAACCATGGGCAGGGCAAGAATCGGCAGCCACTCAGCTGCCCTCCTATCTGTAAAATGAGAGAGAACGTAAGGCTGAAACTACAAGACACAGCACAGATGTCTGCCTGGTAGTGTGCCCCAGGCGACTGCTAATCACTGCATGCTGACCTCCCCCACAACCATGCACCCTTAGCAGATGGAGAAACTGAGGCTGGCAGCAGCAGTGACATTTTTGGTGTCTGGATAGCACCCCCGAGGCTGGAGTACACACCTTGGGAGCGTTCGGCCCCTGAGGGTGGCTTCCAGATGGCCTCTTCGCACAGAGTCAGCTGCTTCTGTTTTCTTAGGGATCTTTAGCAAAGGAGACAGATGACCCGCTTGTGTTGTGCAATTTGTGTAGTGCTCCCGGCCTCCCTCTCTGGGGTCACTGTCTGCTGCCGTGGCCAAAACAGCATGTGCTGATGTAAATAAACACAGTGAGGAGCCCCCTGAGCCCGCAGGAGATGATGTTGGTGCTGGGGGCTGAATTTCACAACCACCCACGTCTCTTTTTGTTTTCAATTAGCTGGGGAGGTGGCTGCCTGCTGGAGGGCAGGAGGAGAGGAGGAGAGGCTGTTTTCCCTCTAGTTCTCGGGGTTGCCCCAGGAAGAAGCCACTCCACAGACAGGCAGGGCATCCCTCCACTGAAATCTCGAGCCTCCTGGGGTGCCCTCCGGATTGGTTGATCAGTGGATTGCTCGCTCCAGGCCCAGCCCAGATGCACTTGGCAGGAGCACAGCAAGAACCTTGTCCTAGAGCCAGGCAGAAGCAGGTTCCTCTGTTGAATGCAAAGGGCAGCTCTGCATTAGCAGGCTATTCAGACATGCACGTGCAATTGTAAGAGCCTTTTACTAATGACAAACCTCGTGTTTAGCACAACAAAGGATGAACAGGGATTATGACAGGGAGAGGCCCTTAGATCTCAGTGTTCCACCCAGTGAGCAGGAATGGCCCAGCCCCGACTGAAGGGGGCAGCCACTGAGTCCTGTTGCAGGGCCCGTGGGAAGAGAAAAAGAGAATGGCCGGAAAGGAGGATGACTTCTTTCCACGCTCTGAGCCAGCTCCCCTAGAGGTGGCCTGTCTGCACGCTCACACTGAAGAGAACGCAGCACAAGTCTTCTGCCTCTCACATGTCCACCTGGCATGTGTCCCCTAGTCCCCGCTATCTGTGGAATGCTGTGTGCAAAGCTCCCTGGCATGCACTAGGGAGAGGAGCATTTGGTGGCCATACCAGAGTGGCAGATGCTCGCAGAAGACAAAAGGCATGCAGGCTGTGTTCTCCATGAAGCCCTGGACAAAGCTGCCCAGGGAGGGCTCAGCCGGTGAGAAACCAGCCAACCTCCTGCAGGCTCCTCAGCTTCCTGCTTTCTGCCCCTCCCCCGGTTCACAGGTAGAGCCTAGGCCTCCTTGCTGAAGGAGAAAATTATCACTTTCGAGAAGTCTCTTATTGCAAATTCAAATTAACTGTGTACTTTGATTCCCAAATATCATCACTAAACACTACAAAAAGCTTTAAGAAAGCAATACAGAGAGAGCTCTAATCCACCCAAAATTGTCCTTCTGGAGAGGACAAGGTTTTGCTGAGACATGATGCTTCCTAAGTGATATCCCATCATTTTTGGATGATTCTATTGAATAAGTAGGCCAGGCGTGGTGGCTCCCGCCTGTAATCCCAGCACTTTGGGAGGCTGAGGCTGGCAGATCATGAGGTCAAGAGATCAAGGTCATCCTGGCCAAGGTGAAACCACGTCTCTACTAAAAATAATACTAAAAAAAAATACAAAAATTAGCCAGGCGTGGTGGTGCATGCCTGTAGTCCCAGCTATTCTGGAGGCTGAGGTAGGAGAATTACTTGAACCCGGGAGGCAGAGGTTGCAGTGAGCCGAGATCATGCCATTGCACTCCAGCCTGATGACAGAGCAAAACTCTGTCTCAAAAAAAGAAAAGAAAAAGCAACAGGGGTTTTTTAAAGCCCTTGTGGACATGTGACAGGGTTGTCTATCAAATACATGAAAGAATCCGGGGGCCACACGTGTCTTGGTACAAGAGGAACAAGTATGCAAAGCATTCTAGTGATGGCACCTTCAGCTTCTTGTCCCTGAGACTTCGCTTCTCCCATCCCGACGTGGCACTCATGGGCCCCCCACCCTCTGGAGATCACCCAGCTTTCTCCTCTCCATGTCTGGCACCTCAAGAGCATGGGGGACCCAGAGGGCAGAGAAAGGAAAGACACTGCACCCCATACACTCCCTGCCCTGCTGAGGCACAGGGAAGGTTTGAAAGAGATGGTAAGATGAGGGCACTGATGCCAACAGTACTCTGAATTTGATCAGAAAGACCTCAAGGAGGCCTAGGGGCATGCTGGGACCAAGTCTTTTAGCACAGGGAGAAACAGCAGCCCTGAGTATGGCTGTGAGGAGCTCCTGTTCTCAGGAAGTGGCCAGTCCCATGTGAGTATGTGAGTGTCAGGCCGGAGTTGCCCGGTCTAGGCAGACAGACCCCTTGCCCACCAGCCTCATGTGGCCTCAGAGGTCTTTTCCAGTTTGGGGAACCACATAGCATGAGGCCAAAGCTTCTCTGCTGCATTCTCACAGTGGAGTTCTGCATGGAGCCGCCTGGGGATATGGTGCCAAGGGCCACGCGGCCTGCAGGGTGAGCAGTGGCCTCTTACTTGTCAGATATTTGGAGAAGTGGAAACTGCTAAGAAAAGGAACCAAAGCCTTTCAGTGCCTCGGCCTGAAGGGAAGAGACACTTATAGGGATGACACAGATGGAGGCAGCAACCCCAGTGAGGTCCACTGGCTCCTGGGCCATGTAGCCTTGGGTCAGGGCACTGTAGGAGAAGGTGCCTGAGCTTCCCCTAGAAGGAAGTGGTTCTGCATCTGTTCTCACTACAAAGCCACCTTTTCTGCTCCTTGGCTACCCTCCCTCCACCATGATGCCTCTAAATTAGACCCACTGGCCCCGGGCTCGCCTTCCCCCTGCCCCCCACTTCAGGATCGCAGACGAAGGAGGTCCAAGTCAGCCCTTCACCTTGCACGGCCCGGCTGTAGTGAGGGGAGAGGGGCAGGGATGGGTTCATGTGAACATCCTGGTGTAAAGGTCACAGCAGAAGCAGACACCTGGAGATGCGTCTGCAGACGTGAGCAGCAGGAGTTGCAAGTAAGAATGCTCATTCCTTCCTTCTTGATTCATCTGCCCACCTCCTGGGTTCCCCACATTCCAGACACTCCCCTGACCACCTCCCCGACATCTCAGCATCCATCAGGGTCTCAGCGAGGAACTCAGTGGGCGCAGCCTGGCCCAGGACTCACTGGAGCTCCAGACCACATTCATCTCTCCAGGGCCAGCCACGGGCTCTGCGCACAAGACATAACACACCATCTCCATGTCCTCACTATACACTTGAGGTGCCACAGCCACATGACCCTGCTGGCAGGCTGCCATGAGGATCAAATCAGAAGCATCAGTGCCACCCTCTGTGACATCAGTGCATGATGGAACCTGGGCACCTCAAGCCCTCCCTGAACCCAGCGTGCACTCAGCCTCACCACCCTCACCACCCATACCCAACATGGGACTCAGAATTCTGTGTTTTTCTTCAAGAAAATATGAGTGCAAGCCCCGTGAGCCTGGATCCTCTCACCCACCCTCCTGAAGCAACAGGATCACAGAGGGGAGCTGGCGTTTATTAACCACCAACAGTATGCTGAAGTCTCCTTTTCTCAAGGCTACCTAGTGGAATCTCTTTCTGCACAGAGCAGGCATCTTGAGAGGAGAGGGAGCACATCGCACATGTGGAGCATCTGATACAGAAGCTACCACCTGCTGGCCACACCCTGTGCCATGCTTCCCAAGGTGGATGGAGAGTGCCCAATGCACCAAGAAGACAAGCCGAGCCGAGAGCCTCATGCTACCTGGGCAGCAGGACAGATGTGTGATGCTCCGGCTGGAGATCAGGGGTTATCCTGGGCCTGGAATTTGTAAGATGGAGCAAACACTTCTGCATAGTCGTCAATTCCGAAAGGGACTTGATAACCTTTTAGGCATTCCAAAGAAGGAAAATCTTCCAAGTTACTTTTCAGCATGTGGCATTTTATTACTAATTGATCATACAATTTTTGTCATCTTTTTTATTGTAAAATTACGAACTATTTAATTCTTTTTGAATGTGCCATCAGGGTCAGGCCCACGTTGAGAACAGAGGACACAGGCACAGGGTTAACAGAAGACGGATTCACGAAGGGATGTGTCCACAAGGGTGAGGGGCAGGGGTGAGGAGTTAGGGAGAAGAAGATGCTGTTGCTAAGCGCCAGCCTCTAGGGGCACAGAGCTGGCAGAGAAGCAATGGAGCAATGTGGAGAAGCCTGGCAGAGAAGCAAGCACGCAGGCTCAGCACAGCCTCCTCGTCGGGGAGGGCTGGTTCTCCCTTCTCCATGCACGCTGCACTCATCTCAAGGCCCGTCACTGCACAGATGAAGGGTGGCTGCAAAACCTCGGCTCCTGCTCCCATGGAGAAGTAGTGCTGGTTCCTAGCCCCATGAACCTGGTCTAGCCCCATTGACTTTTCCAGGGGTTATACCAGGAGAGACGCACACTGGAGGCTCATGAAGCCTGGCAGCTTCCACCTCCTCCCTTGCAACCTTCTCCCTCTGGAAGTCCACAGACCCCAAGACAATCAAAATGGAGACATGTGTGATGCTCTGATCTACGGCCCCTGCCAAGCTCAGCCTCTTGGCCACCCTCATAAAGGCCCCAGCATGGGAGTGAAGCTGTCTTGGACTTCCCAGAAAAATCCACCTGCCAGATGTGGTATCACAGGTAACCTCCACTGGCTCTGTGGGGCAGGGACCGACCGACTGTTCAAATCCCTGACCCACACAATTAGCTGTTAACAATAAAATGATGGTTGTTCTCAGTGTCTACATGGTGGGGAGAGGTCGTGTGTGTGAAGCAACATCACCGGGACCTGAGTCACTATTTCACATCCAGTCCCCTCTGTGAGCTCTCCATATCTCCAGCAGCACTAAGCTGTTACAGCAGTGACACAGCACGGGCGCTGCCTCTCTGCTGCGTCCAACCTTGTCAAAGCAGCACTACCTGGTTTTTACCGTAGGAACATGCTGATGTGCAAATGCACTTTCACATACACCTCAATACATGCAGGACTCACGCTCAGGCTAATGTGCTTGGGCAAAGAGGCATTATTAGCAAAGACGGGCATTTAATTGTTTTTTTTTTTTATTTCAATGAGTACCTACTGAGGCTTTAATAGATCCCTGGTACTGTTTCTGAGATTCTGGTGACAAAAAACTGCTTTCCATTCAAGGAGATCCTCTGTCCTCATTATAGGAACTGCACGTCTTCATTATTGGAACCAAAGTCTCGCTCAGCTTGGTCAGAAGAGTATGAGATTCTGACAGCAGAAACGCATCATCAGCCCCGCAGGCGATGGAGCCAGTGACTGATGCTCTACTACACTGGTCCTAACGGAAATAAAGAGAGCCAGCCCTGCTCCTGCTTGCATCACCAACTGTGGACACCTGAGCCAGCCTCAGTGTTTTCAAGTGGAAGCAGGCACAGCATCACCAGTGTGGGCTTCTCCCAGGGCCTGGAGGACCATGTGGAGAACATGCATGACCACACTCAAAGTGCGCCACGTGCTGTGAGCAAAACCAGCTCCTCACAGCCATGCTTGTTGGAACCTATAGCATCAATCACATGCATAATCCCCAAGAGGGAGCCCCAGAATGTGCTGTCCTCAAGCAATGCATGCGCTCCCCACCACTCCACAGGGCCCAGTGGCCCACAGGGCATGCCTTGGAATACTGTGCTGGACACGGATGGGGCATCGCTCACCTTCTCTGTGCTTCTGTGTCATCCTCTGAATTAGTTTGTTCTCACACTGCTATAAAGAAACACCTGAGACTGGATAATGGATAGAGAAGAGGTTGAATTTGTTCATGGTTCCACAGGCTGCACAGGAAGCATGGGGAGGCCTCAGGAAGCTTTCAGTCAAGGCAGAAGGCAAGGACGGGAGTGAGCAGGAGGAAGAAAGGGTGGGGCAGGTGTTACACAGTTTTAGTCAACTAGACCTTGCCAGCACGCACTATCGTAAGAACAGCACCAAGAAGGAAGTCCTGCCCGTGATCCAATTACCTCTTACCAGGTCCCACCTTCAACACTGGGGATTACAATGTGACACGAGATTTGGGTGGAGAGACAGATCCAAACCATGTCATCCTGCAAACAAAAGAGCTGAACTAGAATCCCCAATGGAGCCCCTGACCCTGGTGTCGCCATCTGTGATGGTCACTGTGGACGTGGTCAGTGTTATCCCTCAAGCTATGGACGGGCGCCTTCCGGCAGCACACAGTTCTCAAGTGTTGGGAAGGATTCTGATGTCATGTTCAGACACAGCCTGTGGTGAGTTCATGGTGGCTGCCCAAGAGGAAGGAAGTGGTGGCAACTTACATATTGATGCTTTGCTAACCCAGATTTCTAGGAAGTCCGGTGGGGAGACGACTGCCTGTCATGCAGATGGACTGTTAGAGATGTGACAGCTAAGCTCTTCTCCTCAGAGGCGGGGTCTGCACCCCACCGCTAGCCAGCCTCTGAGGCTGAAAAGCAGCTGGGCCGACTCAGTCACTCCATGCTGAGAAGACAAAAGTCCAAAGTGACCCAGCCTGTGACCAGACCTGAGCTCTGACCAGGTCAGAGTGTGTGCTTCCACCCAGCAGCCAGCACTCCGGGTGACTCCATGCTCTCAGGACCTGGAAATTAAAACCTCTTGCTGAAGGCAGTGGAGGGGCAACATCACTTTCACTCCAGGGGCCTAGGGAAAGCATCCAGCGGTGTGTATGCACGCACAGGCAGGGCCTGCCCAACCCTGCAGGAGATCCCAGTCCCAATATGTCTTCGCAGCCATCGCTGCCCCTGAGGGGTGCCAGGTGCCTTTTGCATAGCAGGGTAGTTCTAGGAGCCATCATTTTTACAGGGCTGGGTGAGGCTTTGGAATTTGAAGAACAAAATGCATGCTTTAAAAAAGAAGTTTCCAGCAAGCTGGGCAGGCTTCCAGCCATGGACCCTCCTGGTTGCAGCTCTGCAGCTGAGAGGACACACAGGGCAGCACAGGCCTGAGTTCCCGCAACAGTGCCTGGGGTGGCTGGCTACTTACTCATGCTGCCAAGTCCCGCCTGACCTATACAAGGACAGCCCCTGTCCTCCTTGCTTTCCAAGACCATCCGTTTCAAAGGTTTATTCTCATCAAGGCCCTGCCACCTGGGGCCAAGGGCAAGAGGATTGGGTCTCTGGCCTCCAGGAGCTCAAGGTTTCATTGACAATCAACAGTGAGCTGGCATGCCAGAGTCTCAGACCAAGCTCGACTTGCACAGGCTCTGCCGGATTATGAGGCAGCAGGGAGGAAGGTCCAGTCACTTGGCAGGTCAGGGGATGCTGCAGAGGGTGTGGATTAAACTGGGCTGTCAAGGAAATAGGGATTTGCCAGACTGGGAGCTTGAGGAAGAATTCTACACAGAAGAAATGACCCCTGCAAAGCCATGGTGCTATGAGGTGTCGGGCTGCGGGAAGCCCAGGCAACTCCGAAGTCTGGAGCAAGAGTCCTTGGGTAGGAGGAAGCTGCAAGGTCACTGGCAACAAGGCCTAGGCTGGGAGGAGGGATCTGCTTGGTCACCCACATGGCCAGAGTGGAGGGGACCTATCACAATGGGAGTAGAGGAGAAGACAGAAGTGCGTGGGGTCTGTCAGCGGTGGGAGGAGAAAAAGGCAGGTGTCCAGAGAGGGAAGGTCTGGGGGCACTGGCAGGGGGCTAGCCAGTAGAACACAGACCACACGGTGGTGGGCAGGAGACAGAGGCATGGAATCAGCTCTGGGGCTCCTGGGGGAGGTCTCACCTGCTAGGCTGGAGGAAGGGTAATGTGGCAGGAGGGGGCCAGGGAGGATTCTGGAAGGAGCAGTTGCAGGAGAAGGATGGAAATTAGGGTTGGGGGCCTCCGCTGAAGCCCAGGAAGGAGCTGTGAGAAAGGAGTGGGCATCACAGCCAGTGGCCACGTGGGGTGAGGCAAGGGATGTGGTTCCATCGAGGCCAGTGGTGTCCCAATTACAAGGGATTCAGCAGGTTGAAAAGAGCTGCCCCAAAAACCCCACACCCTCAAGATGTACATGAAAGCAGATGCCAGTTGGGTTAAATATATCAATATGCTTTAAAAACTGTCAACTTACCAGCCAGACCAACATGGTGGAACCGCATCTCTACTAAAAATACAAAAATTGCCCAGGCGTGGTGGTGTGTGCCTGTAATCCCAGCTACTTGGGAAGCTGAGGCAGGAGAATCACTTGAACCTGGAAGACAGAGGTTGTGGTGAGCCGAGATCACGCCACTGCACTCCAGCCTCAGCAACTGAGCAAGACTCTATCTCAAAAAAAAAAAAAACCAAGCAAACCAAAAAACCATCAACTTAGTAGAAACATATGGAAGGAGATGTCACAATCTTGGCACAGGACAACCGCCCTAAGTAAAACATGAAAATCCAGAAGCTCTCAGAATATCGCTACCCAGAAGCACATTAAACCGAAACGTGTGGAGGGTGAAAGAGAACACAGAGTTTTAAAATAAACAGTAAATTGAGAGGAAATATTTAAGTCCTCCATGACAAAAGTAAGGGTTATGGTCCATAATACATCAAAAGTCTTTAAAAATTAGTTTAAAAAAAAAGACAAATCAATAAAAACACTGGCAAAGCAAAACTTTGTCAAACATTGCCAAACTTTGCAAAACAAAGACAAACTTTGGTGACAGCAAGCGTTTCCCAACCTCCCTGACAGGTGACAGACAGACGGGCACTGCATCAACTGCAGCCGAAGCACATTGGTTCCTGTGCCCCTCTCTTCCCTGCTGCAGCCACCCGGAGTCCAAGGGCAGGGCTTTAGGAAGGAGAAGACAAAGTAAGCAACAAAACACAACTTGATTGTGTTAGCTCCCTCGATCGTGGAGCCTGTCTGCTGTAAGAGTTAGCATTCATTTGGGTTGAATTAAGTTGGATTAAATGTATGACAATTAAATTTAAAGCAACTTTGAACTACTGTACTACTTTCGGCCATTCTCAATATTTTCAAAATATTACTGACATCTGGAATTGGAGAAGGCGTGAGAAAACAGACATTCCAATATTCTATTGCTGGAAGTATAAATTAGTACAGTCTTGTTGGAGAATAGCTTGGCAACAACCATAGAAAATTTAAAACACATACTTAGCAATTCTAAGAATCTATTCTACAAACATATTGCTAGTTATGTAAATAGCTGTATATTTCTACGAATTGCTCTATATATTTATATGTATCTCATTGCAATACTGTTTGTATAAGCAAAAATAAGTTCGAACAACTTAAATAGCCACCAAAAAGGCATGAAGTTAATAAAAGAGGACTCATTCTAAGGAATATGATGGAACTGACAAAATCCATGAAAAAAAATCTCTATGTGTTAACATGGAGGACATCCATAATTTATCACATGAGAAACCAAATACTGATTGAGCATCCTAAATCTGAAAATCCAAAGTGCTCCGCTTCAAAATCCAAAACTTTTTGAGTGCCAACATGATACTCAAGGAAATGCTCATTGGAGAATTTTGGATTTCACATTTTCAGATGAGGAATGCTCAATCAGTGAGTATAATGTCAATATTCCAAAATCCAAAAGAATTCAAAATCTGAAAGATTTCTGGTCCCAAGCATTTCAGATAAGGGATACCCAACCTGTAGCAGGACATTTATATTATTCAAAACATGGGTTTTTAAAAATTATTTATTTATTTATTTATTTATTTTTGAGATGGAGTCTCACTCTGTTGCCTGGGCTGGAGTGCAGTGGCACCAACTTGGCCCACTGCAACCTCCACCTCCCAGGTTCAAGTGATTCTCCTGCCTTAGCCTCCCAAGTAGCTGGGATTACAGGTGCACACCACCATGCCCAGCTAATTTTTGTATTTTTCATATAGACAGGGTTTCACCATGTTGACTAGGATGGTCTCAATCTCTTGACCTTGTGATCTGTCCGCCTCAGCCTCCCAAAGTGTTGGGGTTAAAGGCATGAGCCACTGTGCCCAGCCTAAAATATGAGTTTTATTTAAAACACACAATATGACTATAAGATTGTTTATATGCAGTTATTTTGTATGTTTACATGAACCCCCCCCACCCACCCACACACACACACACACACACACACAGAGATACACACACACAATTTAAAAATACCTTGGAGGATAAATTAGAACACCTGAGAGAGAATGATCTAGTAAGATAGGTATAAATTGGGACTTTCTCTTTGATTATATTTTCCTGCAACATATTACTTTTGTGATACAAAATAAGAAGGTAGTTGATAAAATGGAATAAGACAGTGCATGTAAAAAATGGGTGTGAGAAGAGAAATAGCAAGTAGCCTCAGGTACCTGTGGACCTTCAAGGTTAACTCCAAAATCTCCCTGTATGTATGCATACATGCATTTTTCTTTTCTAGACAATGTTTTGTCACTTTTATCAATTCTTTTTTTTTTTTAAGACGGGGTTTCACCATGTTGGTCAGGCTGGTCTTAAACTCCTGACCTCGGGTGACCCACCCGCCTTGGCCTCCAAAGTGCTTGGATTACAAGCGTGAGTCACCACGCCCAGCCTACTTTTTATCAATTCTTAAGAGTGATCCATAGGTCAAAGAAAAGTTAGAAGCACCGATACATACTATGTTTTCAAGAAGTTTGACGATAAGGAAAACACACATGGAAGCCACTTGAAGGGCAAAGTATGTCAGGAACATCCCTGTAAACTTGGGAGAAACACTGCACCAGATGACACTGCAGATCTTTCAGAATCTTCTGAAAGATTCTGTATTAATCTAAACCAAGGAAAATATGGACACTTTCATAGGCAATCAATCAAGCTTTCCAGCAGCAAATTTACCCACTGAGCTTTGCATCTTACTAAAAGTTTGGCTGAGTGTGAAATTCTAGGATAGAAATCATTTTCCTTCAAGGTATAGAAGGTATCCTTCCACTGGTGCTTCCCATGGCTGCTGTGCAGGAGTCGAGGTCAAGTTCATCTTAAATCCTTTGCATAGGACCTATTCTCTCTCTCTCTCTCTCTCTCTCTCTCTCTCTCTCTCTCCCCCCCCCCCACCCCACTCCCTCCCTGCCTCTTCCAGCCCCCTCAACATGCCTTTGGTATCTTCTCTTTATCCCTGGTATCCTGAGTTTCATGATGATATGCATCGATGTGGGTTTGTTTTTTTTGTCCACCAGTGTGCTAAGCACTTGATGGTTCTTCCAGCATAAAAACTCCCCTCCTTCCATTTTGGTAAATGTCTGTGATAATTTCCTCTGTCTCTATTTTCTATTTCTGGGACTCTTATTTTGTCAGATGTATCTTCTTGATTAATCTTGACTTTTCTTCTTGTATATCTCTTTGTTTTTCTGTTCTATTTTCTGAAAGATTTCCTCAACACCATTTCCCAAACTCCTATTGAGTTTTTTTACTTCTGCCACATACTTTTCCTTTCTAAGAGTTCTTTTACATACCCTAAAAGTTCTCTTTTTAATGTCTCACTATTGGCTGTTTCTTTGTTTTTTGCATTTTCTTTGCCTTGTCTTTGTTTTCTGATGCATTGCACTTCTTTCTCTGAGTTCCTTTTTTCTGTTTGTTGCTGTTTCATTTGTGTGTTTATGTCTTCCCAACAGAGGCTTTCCCCAGTTGCTCAGGTGTCTAGGGCCTTCTCTTTCACTAGAGGCCCCATTTGGCTAACTGGAAGCTCAATGTGGATGAATGGAGGTTGTCATAGGGTCACCTTACTGAAGGTTTATCAGGTGGGAACCTGGTGGTCTTATGTCAATTAATAGGTCTCTTTTCTTTGGTTTCTCAGTTTCACCAAGAAGAATTGACATTCTAGCCAATGGGCATAATCCTGGTGGCAACATTCCCAAAACTGAGTGGAGAAAGAGGGCTGAGTGAAGGGGTCTGACTATTCAGAAACCAAGTTTTCACTAAATTCACCTACTCTCCATCTGGGTTCTGTGTCTTCAACTGTGACTGGAATCTCCAAGTTCAGAGCTCTCCTGCCTTCTGCAGGGCAGCTGTGCCACACCCTGGCCTTTGGTGCTTCTGATTGCAAGTCTCCTAGGGCTCTGTGTGACCATTGCTGCAGTTGTAAAATGTGGTTTCACAGTTCTCTGATGCTTTCCTGTTGAAAGGTAGAGATGTACGAACCCTTCGATCTGGCAGGCTTATGATGGCTTCAAATAACAGATTATGGTTAAAAGAAGGTCAATGTGACATCTACAGCAGCTGTCACCTAGAGACTTGGAATGTTCCCTCTGTGCACTCAACCACCATGCTGTGAGGAAGCCCCCATCACATGAAGAGGCTACATAGAGGTGCTCTGTTGATAGCTGAATCTAGCCTTCGAGTCTTCCCAGTGGGGGCTTCTGATACAGTGGATCAGACATAACGTCTCCCTGCTTTGCCATGACTGAATTTCTGACCCACCGAATCTGTGATAAAATTATCTTTACGTACTCTGGTTTGGGTTAGTTTCTTGTGCACCAACAGTAACTGAAACAATCATAAATGTTCTTCTTTGTTATGCCATTACTCCCCCCCCACCCACATACACACTTGCTGGTACATAGGTTTTAGTTAATACCTATGTATTAACAAAACACACAGGTATTAACTAAGCTAATCCATGTACTTTCCATTTTTCAAAATTGTGTTGACATGTCTAATCTGCTGGTAACCATATCCCTTTGGATTTCTATCTTTTCCTATTCATTTACTATAATTTTGTGATGATTCAGAGGGAATGCAGAAAAACACACATGATCAATCTGCCCATTTTAACTAGAAACTGCAGCAAACCTTTCCTTAGTGCTTCTAAATGAGTAAACCCAGAGCCAAATTGAAATCCCTTCAGGTAAACTGAGGCAGTAACTTGGGAAACAGGTGTGCCCAGGGTCGTCCTCAGCCACAGCAAAATCACTGCCACATCTGTAGAGTCATTCTGAGCCAGTCACTTTTCATTGCTTTGTGTACATGTAAAATATCAAGAAGAAAGGGGGAAGCTTCCCGCATTGATCTCCACGGTGCATAGAGCTCACCACTAATTTAAAATAAAAGCTTGATCCAAAATGAGGCAAGAAAGCTCCCTAAAGAAAAAATATCTCTCAGTGAGTGGAAAGTAGCTGAATATACCGTGAGTTGGGGCTGGGTCTTTCTGTCGGGGAGGAGTGGCTGCGGCCCCACAGAGACAGAGGCCTGACATTGGAAACAGGGAGTTCAGGTCCCCTCAGTCAATGGAGCAGTCACAGTGTGACCCTCCACTCCCCGACTGAGTGACTGTGTGTGGCACTGACAGTGACTTAACCACCAATGGTAACTCTGGTCGGCTGACTTTAATTGTGAGTTCCAGCTGGGAACAGGTAGAGTCTGGGGTTTCATACTACTTAGCTCAGTAACTTTACACTTAAAACATCATTCCAAGGTCACAGCTGCATCCATAAACCTGGCAGCCCTATCAGATACTGCTCTGTTGTGTGTGAGTCAGCAAGAGCTGTCACAACTCCTGAAAAACAACTCCAAACACACGCCAACCCGCCTCCCCCATAGTTCCATGAACTCGAAGAGAGAAAGCACAACCATGGTGATTTTCAATACACTCAGTGGTACCCAGAGCAGAGAATTGCTACAAATCCCTAAATGACTGGCTCGAGCACCATTTGGTTTTATAAAAAGCAAAAGACTGAACAAAAAGCCCAGCCAGGCTCTAGGTTGCTGAGGCCACTCTCATGCTGTATACCCTCCCTGGGGCAGGCTGCCCTCTCTGGGCCTTCCAGGCCTAGACTAGCTCTTGTTGACTTGGGGTGGAACCACCTCACCTGCCCTACCTGGCCCTGTCTCTGTGACTAAGGGCTGCTCCCGGGAGACAGTGCCTGGGGGCTGCTGGCTACCCTGCAGGAGGTGGCCCATCCTCCACCACAGAGTATCCTTCCCATGAATATGCACCATGCACCATCCGAAGGTCAGGGGTCCCATCCCCCAGTGCCGTGCTCTGACAGTGCGGTCAATGCAGATGGAGACATGAGTGGGTGACCCTAAGGGGCCTCACAGCTCTGAGATCACCCAGTGTTTCACTGTGAATATTTCTTTTTCTTTTCTTTTTTTTTTTTTGAGATGGAGTTTCGCTCTTGTTACCCAGGCTGGAGTGCAATGGCGTGATCTTGGCTCACCGCAACCTCCGCCTCCTGGGTTCAGGCAATTCTCCTGCCTCAGCCTCCTGAGTAGCTGGGATTACAGGCACACACCACGGTGCCCAGCTAAGTTTTTTGTATTTTTAGTAGAGACGGGGTTTCAGCCTGTTGACCAGGATGGTCTCGATCTCTTGACCTCGTGATCCACCCACCTCGGCCTCCCAAAGTGCTGGGATTACAGGCGTGAGCCACCGCACCTGGCCGGTGAATATTTCTAACATCTAGAAAAGTGGAAAGAATTGCATCCTGAGCCCCATGGCCTGCATGCACCATGAACATTTTGCCATACCGGCTTTCTCTCAAATCTGTCCAGCCACTCATCCGTCCATAGTGCTTTGTACCTACCTCAAAGACAGGGACAGCCATCCGTGCCTTTGCCCCAAGCACATGGGTGTCAGTGTCATTAACTCAGCTCCACCTTTCTTTGATTTTTTTGGTAACATGTGGGTAGCGCAGCAGGAACATGTGCTCTGTTCCTAGACAGAGAAGGGAAAAGTCCAGCCAGACTCATTTTGGAAGGAGTGACTAGCTCACCATACAAAGAACTTTGTTAAAAGATTGCTCCAAGGAGATGCTCTGGGCACAGGGTCCCACACAGCAAAGAAGGTAGTCCCCAGTGCTGACTCTACCAAAACCGACCCTCCAGCTCTCCCCAGCCCCACTCCTCCACCTAGACAGAGTTTCACACTATCGACTGCACTCACAAAGATGCAGTGTGAGGGACCCATAAACTCAGAATCCACAATCCACAGCACAGACAAGGAAGGTCCAGCGACAGAAAGTGGGTGCTCCCGGTGCTTCTATTAGGAAGCCTCACCCAGCGAGAGTTCCGTTCCCTGTATTCACACAGCACGGTCCATCCTGCTCTGACCTCACACCCAAGCTCTGCCTTGGTGTGTCCCCAGCTGGACATCTTCTCAGACTCAGAGATATGACAGGTCACTTCCCTGTGACTGGAATTGAGCCTCCTGGTATCTCTCACATGTGGGGACAGTTTGCTCCCTTCTTCCAAACAGACAGCCATGCTCTCCGTCTTACCATAGCCCATGAAGCAGACACTGAGCTGGAGACCACCCAGAGCCCTGAACTTGGCGCCTTCCTCTTTCTTAGAGGAAACTCCAAAGCCCCGCCCCTGCAGCCACTCCTGAGTTTCACAGCCTGCAACAGCAGCAGTGGCCCCAGGCTGGCATCACAAATGCAGAGTCACACATTCCCAAGAAAAAGATATTTGGCAGACCACCCTCCTTACACAAGAGGCTTCCCGAAGCTGAGCCACTCAGGAACAGAAAATGCTGTGGCGCATGTGGCTCTGCCTGGCTGTGTTGTCCCCAAGCACAGGCAGAAGGAGGCCTACCTGACTTCCTCTGTTTCTTCATTCTCTTATCTGAGAACTTCCCACCTGACCTTTATACCCTTAATGACAGAGAGAAGCCTGGACCTCCCAGCAGCATGGGGCTTTAACCAAAGAGAGGATCCCAGATCAGAGCCACCAAGCTGGGCCTCAGCCCACCCTCCCTGTGCCCGGCTGCTGTGGAGTCAGGGAGTTACCAACTGTGAAGGGTTTGGAGGAGGGGACCCCATCTCTCAACTGGAGGAGAATCACAGAATTCAGGCTACGTTTTAAAGCCACGACCCACCACACTCACCCCTGAAATCAGTCCATGTGGGTGCCCACCCCGATGACGTCTCAGGGCCTCTGCTCTGAGGCATCTTGCCTCGAGCAGTGAGGTTTTGCATTTTTGCTCAGTTTAACTCGGGTTTTATGACTCCCACATCTTGGGAGGAGACAGGGAGGAGGAAATGTTGGGGCGAGGCAACCTCTCCAACATCATCATCGCTACCCCTGCCTCCCAAAGCTTCAGAAAAACAAGTCTATCCACCAGAAAGGGCAAAGCATTCTCCCACAGGAAAATCAGCAGAAGGCGCTAATAAACGTGATCATAAACTTGGAATCCACTATCCACAACATGTCAAAGGATTTGGAAGAAAACCTTAACTCTTGTGAGCTACATTAAATTCTAATCTCCTAGACATTCAGAATGAAAATGCAGCTTGCTACCGCTGGGCTCCCGCTGTGTCCTTGCAGACTCAACATCCATGGCATGGTGTCTGTGCATTAAAAACTTTAAGTCGAAGCCTGTACACAGAACAGATAGAAAGACACGCCCAAGATTGTTCTGGTAGCTCAAAATAAATACACACGCATTCGTCTGGATTCCATCTTTAGAGGATTTTAGCCCCATTTTTCAAAGAGCCCCCTAATCTACTCATGAAAATTGGGTGTTTGTAGCCACTAAATCTAGTAAAATCCATTTAAGATTAGGTAGGTACAAATATGCCAACCACAGCACATAGCCAGGTCTACAACAAAGGAAAATGTAATAACACATGGAAATAATTGAGCCTATCGACATCTCCATTTAAAACTCCCCCTTTGACATGAAGATCCATAATAAAGTCATTTAAGGAGTCCACAATCTACTTGGCATGTTCCAATATCAAACACCTCAGCCTCTAAAATCATATTCCAGTCCTTGTGTACCATATGGCATTCTGCACGTTTCTCCTCCTACATTTTTTCAATAAAGCATAGTGGTTGTCGGCTGTCAATGAAAGTCAACTGTGACATCTGTGGAGTTGAACATGGAGGATGTTCATGGGCTGTCTGATTCTGAGCAGGTTCATGCAGCCCAGAGGTGAACATACCTGGAGTTACATTTTTATGCATGGTGGAGAGACAATTTAGAACCCTTTTGGAAATACACAAAATATTCAATGACATGTGATATGGTTTCACTATGACCCCCCACAAATCTCGTCTTGAATTGTAACTCTCATGATTCCCAAATGTCATGAGAGGGACATCGAATCATGGGAGGTAATCGAATCATGGAGGCGGGTCTTTCCCATGCTATTCCTGTGATGGTGACTAAGCCTCACGAGATCTGATGGTTTTATTAAGGGGAGTTCCCCTGCACATGCTATCTTGCCTGCTGCCATACAAGACGTAACTTTGCTCCTCCTTCACCTTCCACCATAATTGTGAGGCTTCCCCAGCCATGTGGAACTCTGAGTCAATTAAACCACTTTCCTTTATAAATTACCTAGTCTTGGGCATGTCTTTATCAGCAGCATAAGAACAGACTAAAAATACACGATGCTTGTGTTCACTTCAAGTTTGCAAATTTAACACTAATGTGGAATTTCATTTTAACCTAGGCTCTTTCCTGGTGTGATCTTTGTCTGTAGTTCTGAGCAATCAGAGATTCCAAGAACACAGTCAAGTAAAGGACATCATTATAGAAAACTCTTTGACTCCCTTATTCTTTTCCTATTAAATATGATTATTTATTAAAACAATTAAGCATAACTGTTAAGGTGATGCCACTTTGACCATCTGATGCAGCTACAGGACAGGTTTAAAGAAAGGTAAATACAAGGAAAACAAGTCCCTTTCCCTTGGTCCCTCCAGGGCAGTGCTGGCATCAATAACTCTTAATGATTTTATTCTCCTGTAAAGGAGTAAGAAGATGCTAAGAACTAGGAAGTCCCCATTTTTCTACGTAAAATGTTGCATTAGTCCATTTCAGCGGCTATTACAAAATACCATAGACAGGTGGTTCATAAATGACAGAAATTTATTTCTCTCAGTTCTGGAGCCTAGAAAGTCCCACAGCAAGGGTGACTGGTGAGGGCCCCTTCCTCATCGACCATGACTTCTCACTGTGTCTTCACATGATAGAGGGGGTAAGGCAGCTCTAGGGCCTCTTTCACAAGGGAACTAATCCCATGCATGAGGGCTTCACCCTCATGACTTCATCACCTCCGAAATGCACTACCTCCTAACACCATCACTTTGGGGGTTAGAATTTCACCATATGAATTTTGGGGGGACACCATCAGACCGTAGCACTGTCTGATCTCAGCACTATCTTCTTCCATCATCTTGTGAAAACAAAAGGAAAGAAAAGCAGAGAACCATGCTGCCCCAAGTAAAGACACATGTGTCCCTCACTCATTCATTCTGTAAACATCCTTGTGCCGTTACCAGCTAGACTCTGCAAACAAGGAACACTAATAAGTGTCCCTGTCCTCAATGTGTTTTTAGGAATATTGGCCAAGATGAGTTAACATCTATGAAAACAACTCTTAGCGTTCAGTGACCTAATAAGCTATAAGTTTGTTTATTCCTTTGTCCTAGTCTACCATAGGTTGGGGGAAAGAGCGCTCCACACAAACCTTCAGGGACTCAGGCTTTCCCTCCTTAGTGGCCCTGTCACCCTGAACGCCTCGGAGGTCCCCAGGCCCTCTTTGTCTATCCAGCAAATGAGAGGAGAGAATGTGAAGAAAGACACAGCTAATTTTAAAAGCAGCCACCTCCGCCCACATCCCCCATGGAGAACTCCATCCCAGGGCCACAGTGGCCTGCAGCAGAGGCTGGAAACATGGTGCCATGAGGAAGAGAGTGTTGACTAGACAATAGTCCAGTCACTCCAGTGAGGAAATAGAAGTCCTTTCTCCACCTGTACTTAACACCAGAGCTGTGCTCGCAACTAGAAGTGTGCATCCAGAGCTTATGTTCGTTCATTGGAACTCCAAATCCAAGGACATCCTTCCATTTCAACCACTTTGTTTTCTTCTGACAATTTTCTTTAACAAGGACAAATGTTCCTTTCTAACACATTTAACCAAAACAGAGCAAAGTGTAAAGTAGAAATATAAAATACTTTTTCAGCAGGGAATAATTTTTTTTTTACTCTAGTGGACCTAATCATTTAGTAATTGACCCTTTTCAGGGCCTAGCATGCAACTCTTGGCTTTTAAAACTAAGCCTGAGATAATTTAATCCAGCTAACCTCACACAGCCAGGAAGCAAGGGAAGGGAGAGGAGAACCGAGGCTATGGACTCCGGACCCCCTTCCCCAGCACTCTGAGAGGTCTCCAACAGGGGAGAGATTTTTGTTTTCTTTCGTTTTTTGCTTGGAGACAGAGTCTTACTCTATCGTCTAGGCTGGAGTGTGGTAGCACAATCAATCATGGCTCACTACAGTCTTGACTTCCTGGGCTCAAACGAGTCTCCCACCTCAGCCTCCTGAGTAGGTGGAACTACAGGCATGCATCACCATGCCTGGCTAATTTTTTGTTTGCTTGTTTGTTTGTTTTTGTGTTTTGTTTGTAGAGACAAGGTCCCACTGTGCTGTCCAGGTGGATCTTCAACTGAGCTCACATGAGCCTCCCGCCTCGGCTTCCCAAAATGCTGGAATTACAAGCGTGAGCGATAGTGCCTGGCTGAGATATGATTTAATACAGCACTCTTGTTGGATTCTCAATGTTAGCGCTCACTGAGCAGGGGGTGGACAATCCCGGCCCTATCAGAGTAACAAGAAAGGAGATAAACTCTGTGAAAGCTTTCAGGGCAAGGCTGTTATCTGTGTCATCAATAACAGTGATAAACCCTGGCCTGGCCTGGCCTGAGCTCCCTCCAGGACCCACTAAACACCCTCCATCCCACATCCAGCTGGTTCAAATGCCAGAGGTATATTGCTGGGTGCCCTTCTGGGTGCCACTAAAGGAAGAGAAAAAATTCACCATGAGAGTTTGAGAGACTTAAAAATTTGCACAGCAGAAGCTGCAAAATGAGAGCAGGCTCAGTGACGACTGGAAGCAAGCATGACTCTCCATGGTCCCACAAGCAGCTCTGAGGTCCTGGGCCTGGCTGGTCTGCGACTGTGGAACAGTAAGATTCAGGATTCCAGAAGCGTGATGGCCAAGAACCCGCCCACCCCTGCCCCAGGCAGAGGACTCAGCTCTCAGCAACAAGAACTCCACAGAAGCTTGCACAGGGTCTTGGAAGACAGCAGGGCTTCTGCCAACAGAGTCCTGTCTTTCTCTTCGCCTCCCCCTCACTCCTCCCTCCACTGCTTCACTGGACTTTGAAAAATATCATGGGTGGGGCCATTGGGTATAGGGCCATGGAAAGGGATAAAAACCTCCAACCTGGGTGACTACTATTAACACTAAGCTCATGAAAATCAAGATAAGCCCTCTACTCTCTGATCCCCATCCCATAACAAGATTTGCAGGGCAAGCCCGGGAGGGAAAAGAACCAGGTCCAACAAATGTAAATTGACAGGTGCCCCTGTTCACAGTCTATTGTAGATGCAATTCCACATGACTCCCCAGGACTAAGATGGTCCCCTCTGTTGGTGCTGCTATCCTGGGGGAAGGTGCAGACATATTCTGGCCAGCCAGTACTTGCTCCCAAAAATAGCCTGTGGACTGTGCCCTCCTCCAGCCAGGGAGGCGGGACAAACAGCTCCTCTTCAGCCCAGCCTCATGCCCCTGTTCTGTGCTCCTCACTGGCCTGGCCGCAGGTCCTTCCACTCCAAAGGGACGCATAGTATTTCTGCAGCTCTGCTCTGAGCAGCCTCCTGTTATGCAGGGCTATGAAACAGGCCCTCACCACCAGAGCATGTGGTGCAGCCTGAGAGGTGGGGACAGTGGGTCTGGCTTTTTTGCACAAGTTGAACCAGGGTTCATGTTCCTGCAATGCCAGGTGAAAGGCACAGCCACCAAGTTCTCCTCCAAAGGCCCGAGTCCTTTGGAACTCATTTCCTGGGGGGCCAGAGCAGAGTGTACCCCCATCCCAGGTCCTGGCACAGGGACAGGGCCATAACCTGGGGACTCTTCCTGCTACGGCCAGGAAGACATCTCCTGCCACCAGGAGATGGCTGGGCTGCCTGCCTGGCTCACACCAGGAGTAGTGTGGCTAGGACCAAAAAAGGGAATCTCAGGCCTGTCTGGAGCACCTTGATGATGGAGTCAGGGGGAGGGTCTAGACAGTGGCTATTCATTGCTTCTCCTTCCTGCCCTGCAGAAACTTCCTCCTCAGTCTGAATTGGGAAGGGCCCACTGCATCTGCCTCCAAATCCCTTTCCTGCTGGTCAAAGGCAACCAGAGAGGGCCGGAAATCCAGCTGCCCACAACATATCCTGCCATGGCCTCACACAGAGGGCATGGATCCTGGGGAGGATGAACAGGAAAGACAGAAGGGGAATTCCATCCCACCAGGACAGCAGATTCAGTGCCTTCCATGAAGGCAGCTGACTGTGGTAGGTGCTGTCATTTCAGGGGCTCACGATGGGCCTTAGGTGCCTCCCAGGAGCCTGTGGTGGCAGTGACTGCACAGAGCCACCCAGGAACATGTCTGTCCATGATGTGGTCCCCACTGGGCAGGGCTCTGGGGCTGAGGCACAATCCCTGCTCCTCCGTGCAGGGATGGGACTGCCTGATAGATGTGTTTTTCCCACTGCCCCGACTCTCGCCAACACCTGGAAAAAGGGAAGTCTGACATACCTCATCCCCAACAGACAGCAGTAGCCAGAAGGCAGGAGCTCTGGGGCCATCAGAGGAAAAGGCCACCAATCGGTGCTTGGTTATGATGAGATTCCAGTGGAGCGCATCTCGTCAGAGTGTCCCAGAGACCCAGGCCCCTCCCCAGATAACACCCAGACTGAGCATTCACTTCACCTACCACAGCTTCTGCTCAGGGCCTCTGATCTGGGGCTCTTGGGGTTGGGGGACTGCATCATCTGTTGTGGGGGGCCCAGGCTTGGGCCTCACAGGTGCTCCAGACCTGTCCTTCTTCCCTCAGAGCCGGGATGGGAATCAAAAAAGCCGGGAGAGCCAGGATAACAAGAACAGGGAAGCCACTGGGAGGAGGAAGGAAAGACGGAGGGGCGGAGACCAGCAACCGCTCTTTGAATGAAGAGAAAGCATTTCAGGCAGCCAAATAGAATGTCAGCAAACCTCAGAAGCAATTCACTCCCCCACACCCAGCCTTATGGGGTTCCCACTGGTGCATCAGGCGCGGGCCAGGCCAACTCGGAACATTCAGTACAAATGCTGGGCTGCCAGCTCGTCCCTAAAATAAAACTCCAGCTGTTGGCCACGGAACTGCTTGGAAAGTAGAGCTCCCTGAGACAGGAAAGGAGTCCTGCATGGCAGAGAAGGAAAGCTGAGAGAAGCGAGGCCTGCTTCCATGTGGCTGAGGTTGGATGTGAGAGCCGTGTGACTGCCGCCAAAAGCTGCTGGGGTGAGGCCCCAGGGGAGCTGCAGGAGGGTACGCCGACCCTGGAGCCATCCTGCCATTCCCATGACCAGTTCTTCCGAGATTGACATCTTTCTTTTCCTGCACTTTGACCCCCCACCTGGTACCGGCAAGGGCCCTTGGGCCACACAGGGTAGGCTGGCTGGCATATGGGTCCCTTTCTCCATTCGTCAACATCCTGAGCCTTGAAGGAGTGAAGCTGGGACCCCAGGAGCCACACTGTGGGGGCCAGTCCCTAAGCAGGCAGGCGAATCCACATGGGCTATAGAGGAAGGCGAGGGAGGAAGGAGCAGGCCCAGATTCCTCAGCACAGCTGCAAATGCCCATTAGTGAAGATGCTGCTGCAGGGGAACCAAGCTCACGCTTTCGGCGAGTCTGAGTGTGGAGCTGTTGAATGACACGGGATGCACTGAAACAAAAAACAAGTTACCTGGAGACGTCCTCCTCTGTGTGGCCGTCCATGTACAGGGGAAGTAAGACCCTAGCAGGTCCTCCAAGTGTGTGCCCATCTGTACGTCTTTCCTCCACCCCACACTGTTGGGTGAATATGTAACAAGCGCAGTTCTTGCTCTCATCAATGAAACAAAGACTGTGAGTCCTTCCTACAGGGCCAGCACTGTCCTAAGCACTGGCTCTACATTTTCTTCTTTAAAGCACGTGGTGACCCTAAGAGGTAACACAGTTATCACCCTTGCTGTGCAGATGAGGAAACTGAGGCAGGGAGAAGTGACATAGCTTGTCCCAGCCTAGGCAGCTGGTGACAGGGACCTGGCTGGAGACTGCCCTGTGCCTTGCCCGTGCTACCCTAGGAGGCAGTAGCTGGTCAGAGCTGTCCACACCATGCACACTTGCTGGGCTTTTCTACAGAGCCCACACTCACCCACAAGGATCGAAGAGGGATGCTGCAAGGAGGAGCAGGGGGAGGTCATAACTGGGAGGGCTCAGCCTTTAGAAAGTCCCTGGGCAGATCCCAGGCCACCTGCTCCTCTTCCTCCAGGGCCACCATGTGGTCTCAGACAGGTTGGCGAGCGCTCAGGGCCTGGGGCTACCCACCTTTAACATGGAGCAAGGTGAGCCAGACCACATAGCTGTGACTTGGGTTAGACTCACTCCTAGACTGCAAGAATGACTCCCGGACAAACAAGAGCCTGCCCCTGGGGTCTGCATTTCAGCAGAGCGGGGAGTGCTAGATCACCAGGACACCGTACAGAAGTGAGCCCTGCAGAGACGCAGTCTGGAACAAGGCTGTCAGGAGCCAGCAAGCCCATTCAGACACACAGGCCCAGACACACAGCTCTGCAGACACACACCTCTACAGATACACAGGCCCAGACACACACCTCTACAGACACACAGCCCCCAGACACACACCTCTACAGACACAAGCCCCCATGTGCATTTCAAACATAGCTCTGCAGCTGCTAAGGGGAGAGCAATCTGTGTGAAGCACTGGCTGTGCACATCTACCGTCTCTACATGAATGGCAGCTGGCATGGTTGGAGGAGTGCCCTGGTTCATACGTGGGGCAATTGGAGCTGTCTACAGAGCCACCCAAGGTGAAGGATGGTTGGCCAACATTAGCGACTCAGACACGATGGGCTTCTGGAGCTTCTCTGGGCACATATGGTCAGTACCCCTAATGGCTTAGCAGAATGAGGGTGCTGCAGGGGGCCTCGACCCATGGCCTGGACCCTGAAATGCACGGCACTGACCAAAATCTCAGAACCTTCCTAATTGTGTTTTTCTTAAAAGATGCCACCCACAAACACTAGGTCCCTCTACCTTCAAGTGATCTGCTGGGCTGGCTGCTATTGAAGTGACACCCTGGGCTGGGTGCTGGGGAAAGCCATGCTGAGCACCCCTGGCCAACTGGAGACACTCTCAGTCTGGCATAAGCTGCCTGTGCTTGGCAGATAGACGTGATGGCTAGGTACAGCCCAAGCTGTGGGTTCCTGTGTCTGAGCTGGCTTGGTCGAGGCCATTTGGACTATCACTCCCTAGCCAACCCAGGCCAGCTCCATTCCTCCTGCTCATCAAAGGGCTCTGGGTGGCTCTGGTCCTGCTCCTCCACACAAAGTTGCCTTTGCAGGGTTGCCTTCTGAAGAAGTTTCTATCTGTTTTCAACAAGGTACAATCTAAAAACTGACCACAGCAACTCTTCCCACACACCTTCTTTCCACAACAAACAGTAACAAAGGAAAAAATTCTCTTCGGAGCTGACAATGGAAAAGAAAGACTTTGCCTCTTGTGCTTGTTTAAATTGACTCACTCTGTTCTATTCAGAACATGCCAAGTGACTAATGGACACGGTAGAGGCACAGCTTTAATGGGAAAAAAGGTGGGGCAGGAGAGTTTCTCAACCATAATTGGGGGATTTAGGTATTCCACGGCTTTTAAAGAAACAGATGTTACTGGAAAGCGTGTTGCTATTTTGGTAGGTGGCTTCATGGCCTTGCTTTCACTATGGAACACTGCTCATACCTACTGCGAATATCATTCCCAAGTTCACCCAGGAACGCCCTGGGCATTGTCTTCCCACTTTCTAGCATTTGATCAAAGTAATCCTTGGCTGACTTTACAAACCCATTGTTAATATTAGAGCTCAGCTTTAGGCTCTGTCTTTGCAAACTTTCCCCATAAAACAAAAAATGTATTGTTTTGTTTTGCTGCTGGTACATTTTAACTTATGTATGATTCAACCCATTTTTTCCTACTGGAAATGTTGTAAAAGATAAATTTGGAAATATGTGCCATGTCTACTTATCTTGATGAGCAGGGTGTAGGAGTCAAGAGATTGGATACTAGAGCATTTAATTTTGTCTTAAAGATTTTTTGAAATCTTGTGTATTCACAGAGAAAGCAAAAGAAGGGCATAAAATAAGAAAACTGGTCAATCACACTGTACACAGCACTGCGCCATCCTGGCCGGTTCTACGAATCTGTCACTGAGCTGCCTCCGAGCCTCGGTTTCTTCTTCTGCAAGGTGGGGACAGGCCCAGCCTGTCATTGTGAAGATGAGCTGAGTGATGCACATGGCTGGGCCACATGGAGTGAAAGCACTCGGCTTCTGGGTTTAACTCCATCCGGTGACCCGCTGAGCACAGGAAGAGAAGCACGGATAGGCAGCATGACAGCAGGTACAACCATGGCCTGAGCACAAGGACATGTCATGTGACGGGGTGTGGCTTGCTAGGGCTGCCATAAGCAACTATCACACACAGGGTGGCTCAAACAACAGAAACTGATTGTCTCACAGTCCTGGAGGCCTGGAGTCAGAAACCAGGGGTCTGCGGGGTCACGTTCCTTCTGAGACTGCGTGGGACCCTTCCGTGCCTCCTCCTAGCTCCTGCCCCGGTCATCCCTCCCTGGCATTCCTTGGCTTGTCCATGCACCCTCCAGTCTCTGGCCCATCTGCACAGGGCCATTTTCCCAGTACATCTGTCTTTTTATTTTCTTATAAGGATACCAATCATTAGATGAGAGCCCACCTTAATGACCTCTGATTACATCTACTAAGACTCCGTTTCCAAATTAGGTCACCTTCACAAGGTCTGGTGGCTAGGATGTCAGCATGTCTTTGTGGAGAGGGGATGCACAATTCATAGCAACAGGGAGCATGACTGGCCAAGGAGCTGATAGGCTTCCAAGACCCCTCAGCTGCCATGGGTCCACACTAGCCTCTGAGACTGAGGATGTGATGGAAAGCAGGCTTCAAAGTGTCCCGCCAAAGGGACTCTCAGCCCTGTCCTGGGGATGCAGCTCCATGAAGAAGGGAGGCCCTTCAAAAACACCCTCACCTGCCATCCCATGGAGGTGGCCCAGGGCTGAGCCTGCTCTAAGGCCTTCCAGGGAATCAGATATGACCCTGGAGAGCTGAGGTGGTCCCATCCTCATGGCTATCCTGGGCACCTTCACCCCCAGATAAGAGGCAAGCTGATTAGGGAAGTGCTATCGAGTACCTGCAATTGTGGGCAACTGGAGCTACAGCCATGAAGCGCTCGGGGGAAGAGGTGTAGGCCCAGGGTCATGTTATGGAGGGGCAAGACAAGGGGATTTGAGCAGCAACCCTCAGCTCTCCTGGAGTGAAACTGATCTCAAGGGCATGACTCCCACAGCCAGGCATTGCCAGGCTGGGCCAGAATGTTTCTGCCAGAGACAGAATGCTGCAGAGGCGGCAGGTGGACGCCCAGGAGGCATGGGCAAGGAGGTCTTGCCTGGTCCCTTACCGTAACCTAACCAACACTGCATTACTGGAGTGTGAATGTTCCAGGCAAGCCCAGGTCACATTGATTTGGGGTGCAGCCACAGCTTAGCCAAGCAGCGCAAAGAGCCCCCTTAAGGAATAGAGGACCTACACCCCAACTGCTGGAACCACTCCCTGGCCCTCCAGGGATGGCCTTGCTGAAGCATGCTGCCCCACTCCTCCCAGGCAGTCTGCTCTGTGACTGGCCCAACTTGGGAGATAAATGCCTGTCCTCTTGGCCTGACTCAGGACACCGCTGCAGGACCACCCAACTGAAGGTTCCAGTGCCCCTGCAGGTTCAGCTGAAGCTCCTGTTTCCTTCCTTCTTCAGGCGTTAATCCCAAGAGTGCCCCAGAAGTCTCCTCAGCAAGTGTCCCTGGGAAGGCCACCCACAAGACCCTGCTGCATTTGTCCTCCAAGCCAGAGTATTCTTCAAGTGTTTTA